TATTTTTATAAGTTTACTAATAAACTTAAGATAGTAACTTAGGAATAATATTATTATCTTTAGAAGAATTAATCTAATAGATTTAATTTAGTTAAGAACTATAACGCTTATAAAACTAGATAATATAAAGGATAGCTATAAGAAGAGGAGTAATATAATAAAGAGCTAAAGAAGTAAGTAACTTAGAAGATACCTTACTTAGAAGTTCTTATTTAATCTTAAATAAAGTAGGACTTTAAAGCTTCTAAGAATAAGCACTTTTATAAGAGGTAAGCCTCTCCTAAGTCTTCTTTCTTAAGAGGAGGTTTCTAATTTTATATATATAATTAATCTTTATATAATATTTTTAGTTTATAAGCGTTTTTATATATATATAAGGCATTTTTAGCTATTCTTATAGCTAAGGGGGTGTGTAATAATTTATTTTATAATATATCTTCTACCTTATATAGCCCTCTTAATAAGCTTTACTGAGGGAGCAGGTTATATAACTAGTATAAGCCTTATAAGTTTATAATTTAAGGATGCTTAAGAGGATAACTTCCTCTTAAGTAATACACACCTTTTTATAAACTCTTTAGTCTCCTCTAACTGCTAGCTCTTAGTATCTATAATAAAGAATTTATAGTAATAATTAAAGTTTTTAAAGAATAGAGATTTAAATTCTTAAGAATAATTTATAAAGTACTTATATACTTAAACTATAAAAACTTCTTATACTTTACTACTTCTAAAATATTAAATAAATAATAAATTAAATAATTAGAATTTTTTTCTAAGTTTAACTTCTAAATTATTTATTAAAAAGGATTAAATAATAGTAAAACTAATATTTTTAGCTAATAACTAAACTATAATATCTTAATATTTAAAGAAACCTAAGTAATTCTTAAAAGAAATAATAATAAAAACTTAATATTAATAACTAAACTCTTAATAATAACTAAATAATCTAAAACTAGCTTATTTAGTAAACTAAATAATAAAGTAATTATAAAGTTTTATATTTAACTTATATATAGTTACTAAAGAATTATAAAAACTTAAAAATAACTATAATAGTAATATAGAGAAAAAGTTATTAGAAAATATATAGTAAAAATAATTAAAAACTATAAAGTTTATTTTAAAAATAAACCTATTTAATATTAATTTTATAATATATTATAACTTTTACTTATATTATAAATTACTTAGTAATCTATATTATTTAACTTTATTATTAGATTACTAAAGTTTTAAGAACTTCTTATAGAAGTATATTATAATAGTATTCTTATTATTATAAATTAATTTATAAAGTATACTTACTTTATTTTATATAAAAAAGTAAGTAATACTAAAAAATATATTTATATATTTCTTAAGTATATTATTACTAATTATAAAATACTTAAAGAAATTATATTAAATAAAAATAAAATCTTTACTTCTAACTTTTAGAAATTAATTATATTATATCTTAGTATTAAATAATTAATATCTATTATATTCTACTTATAAACTAATAAATAAATAGAATAAATTAAATAAATCTTTAAAACTTACTTCTATATTTATATTAATTATAACTAAAATAATTAAGTTATATTATTATTAATAGTTTAATTTATTTATAATAATATAATAAGAAAAAATACTAAGGAATCCTCTTTTTATTTTAATTATAAATTTAAACTTATTACTTATAGAAAACTTTAAATAAGATTAACTATAATAAAAGCTATTATTTTAATATAATAAATTAAAAATATCTAAAAAAAATATATATAAAGAACTTAAATTTATATAATAATAAATAACCTAATTTAGTAATAAATAAAGGATTAAGAGATTAACCTTAAAAAAAAGAGATAATACTTATTTTATATAGTAAAATATTAAAATAAAATAACTAAATAATAAACTTAACTTTAAAAAATTTAAACCTTTTAAAATTTTATAAATTATTTTACTAATTAACTATAAGTTTAAACTCTTAAATATTATAAAATATTATTTAGTATTTTATATTTTATTATTTAAATTAGCCCTATAAAAATTATAAATAAGTAATATTATTATTATAGAGAATAATAAGCTAAAATATAAAGTTAAATATATTATTAACTACTTTAAAAAGCTTAAAAGATATTAATATCTTATTAAGTAGAAAAGATATAAATATAAAGATAATATTTAGGAACTTATAAAGAACTTTACTAATATAACTAATAAATTTATTATTTATTAATAATAATACTAAGAATAAGAAACTATATTAATATTAATAATACCTCTTAGTTAAATAAATATTAATAGCTACTTATAAATTAAATACTTATATAGATATATTAAATTACTAATAGAAATAAATAGATTATAATAAAGAAAACTATTTATTTAGTTAGAAATACTAAAATATAACTAAAACCCTCTTAATAAGAAGTTTAAAATATTAAGATTTTAATTAAGGATTAAATCTAAATCTATTATACTAAAGCTATTTATTAACTAAACTTCTAATATAAGAGATATTACTAGCTCCTCCTCTATAACTTCTTAACTTTTTTAAAAAACTACTTTTTTCTACTTATATAAATAATCTAACTATATTATAGATTTATCTAACTTAACTTATATAGTATATAAAGTAGTAGCTTTTTTTTATAATACTTCCTCTTTAGTTACTTCTATATTTTCTAAATAAGCTATTTTATTTAGTAAATAGTTAACTATAATAAGTTAGTAATATATATAAAATATAAAGAGTATAAAAATATATAAATATAAATAGTATTTACTACTATATTATAAAACTACTTTAAGTAAATATATTTACTATAAACCTTACTATTTAAAAGAAATTTATAATACTTCCTTATAGAATAATAATAAGAATAAAGTATATTAATAATAAAATTAAACTTAGTAATATATAATATATAATTATAATAATAAAGAGTAGAAATAGAACTTAATTTTAATTTTTAAATATAACCTAATATAATATTAATATTATAAATAAATTAAGAAATATAATTAATAGATCTTTAACTTAGGATTAATAACTTATTTATATTAAATCTTAAAAATAAGATTTTTAGAGAGAAAACTTAATATTATAACTTATAAATAAGGATAATAGTTAAATAACTTACTTAAACGTTAAGTAACTAAAATAAGATATTTATACTATAAAATTATAAAAATAATAAGAACTTATTTAGTATAAAAAAACTATAATATAAATTATATAATAATAAAATAGGGAAATAATTAATAGAATATAAAATAAAATATTTAGTAATTAATTAGTATTACTAATTAATTATAATTACTTTATATATTTAGGTAATTACTTTTAAGTAAATAAAAAATACTATTTAGGATTTATATATAGTATAACTTAAGCTTAGTTTAAAGTTAAACTCTTATAGCTCTTTAGTAATTAACTTAGTATTTATCCTTAAGATACTCTTAGCTTATTTTTATTATAAATTATTTATTAAGTTTAAGACTAATTACTTTAATCTCTAAAAACCTAATCTACTATAGCTTATAACTTTTAACTTAGATTATAACTTAATATACTATTAGAACGTATTAATCCTTAGCTTCTATTAGTAGACCTTACTGTTAGATAGCTAACTATAATAATGAATATATAATGCTAATATAAATATAGAAGTGAAAAGAATATAGAGAGAAAAAGAGGAAATAAATACGCCCTACTGCCTTAGGGCAGTGTCTAACTAGCGCCTCTAGATAGATTCTCAGAGCTCCTTAACCTGGATATTCTTTTATGCTGCTGCTTAACCCCTTAGCTATCAATGCGTCTTAGGAGATGCACCAGTGACAATTCAGCTAGTGGAAAGACTGAAGTAGGCGTTGACACGGCTGCCTAGAATTGCATTGAATATCAGATGGAGACGGCCTGGAGAGAAGGCAGGAGTGACCCTGGTTTGCCTGATCATTTTCAGTTGATTCTAGTCGCTAAGCTAATAGGCTTAAAAGTAACTCACCTGCAAAACTTCTACCTACGTGAAGACACTAAATTCAAGAGTACTTTAGATTTCACTCATAATAAGGCAGCCTCCCTTAATGATACTAGGAGGCTTTCTTACCGCTAGGGTAGAGCAGAAGGGTTCCTTCAAATTCAGAGGACGCCGGGGAGTTCTTTTCTGAATTCCAAGCTATGTAGATCACGTTAAATGCCTGCATGATTATGTAACATAATTACTGGTGACGAAGTCGGAGGTGTTTGTTCACGTCCGCCATGTGGCTAGGATTGATTGGTCAGAGGTCTGTGGGTATTTACTACAACAGATGATAATCTCTATGAAATCTTTCATTCTCCTAGAACCTTTTCCATTTTAGATTAACAACGCCGATCTGCAAGATGCTTTGTGTCGTGTGTCTCAAATCCCTCGAGAGCTACGTCGACCCTTCGTCGGTTGAGGTAGTAGGCGCGACCGGCATTGCCCGGCCTCCAGAAGGGGTCGCGCCAATAACGGAGAGCCAAAGACAAAGACATGCAAGATGTAACATATCTAAAAATCAGGTGTTACGTCTCACTAGGATGCTCACATGCTCATTCAGTGTTATCTGATCCCGAACGCCGATTCGACCGTGAAGAATATGCGTACGGGCACCATAAAACGCCCGAGTCATGGTTGGAATCAGCAGCAGAAGGTTGCGCAATATGCAGCTCCCTACCAGTGAGAACTGAATACACGGAGGATATGGCAACTTTGGGATATTTCACCTGGATCAACATTTGTCTCAGCCTAGAAACCCACACGGGGAAGACACGCCTCGATATGTACATCATTTGTGGGAACTATTCTTATGAACGCTATGGCCGGTTCTTGTCATACTCAAGTCAGTATCATCCGAATACGTATTATGGAAACAAGTAAAAGAACTAACTCAACTCTGCAGCAATCCAACATCGCTTCAACAACATGATTTCAGAGTTCTCTGATGCTCCGGGTACATGGGCTACCATCCAGCACTGGATGCGGAGTTGTGACGACAAGCATTCTCTGTGCAAAGTCCAGTCGACCTTTATTCCGACACGCCTCCTGAAGCTACATACGAGCGGTGGTGTAAGAAGTTTCCGCTTAGCCCTGCGCGAAGAAATTGAGCCGGGATCGAAGTACCTTGCGCTAAGCCATTGCTGGGGAGACAAATCCTGGGACCTGGATCTCACACTTAGAGCTTCAACGCTGACAGAGTTATCGAGAGGCAAGCCACTATCTTGTCTTCCAAGGACGTTCAAAGACGCCTTCGTGGCCCTGGAACGGCTTGGTTTACAGTACATATGGATAGACCGCTTGTGCATATTTCAAGACTCCGAGGCTGACTGGAGTCAGGAGTCCTCATCGATGCATCAAGTGTTCAAGAGTGCATTTCTTTGCATCGCAGCCTTGGGTGCGGAAAACGATGAAGGGGGCCTTTACTTTCAACGGGTTCCAAAGGATATCAAGCCCACTGTTATCGACTTATCTCTGTTTGGCACGCCAGACTCATATGTCAACGAGTGGGAGATTTTCTTACTTCATCAGAAAAGCCTCGACCACGCAACTCTATGTAAGCGCGCCTGGATCTTGCAGGAAAGAGTCTTGAGTCCACGGACAATATACTGGGGTAAACAGCAAGTTTTATGGGAGTGCCATGAAATGCATTGTTCTGAGAGCCAGCCTGATGCCGACTGGTTTGGTGCTAGCTGGACTCGCCAAGAGGACCTCCAAAGTAGAGGGCCTAGCAACCATCAACCCGCATTCAAATATCTAATGCCTCAATGGCCGGGATCTCCTTCTAGGGGACCCGAACTCCATTACAGACAATGGCGTGAGCTGCTTGGGTATTACACGAAATGCCAACTTACCAAATCACGCGATAAGCTGGTGGCGATATCGGCCATTGCAAAAGAAACAAGAAGCTTCTTGGGAGCCCTTGGCGAAGAAACCAGATATTTGGCTGGGATATGGGAGGCTGAATTACCTGAAGCTTTGGCATGGCGTGTGCATCCAGACAGTATATGCGGGAGACGGCCGGTCGATTACCGGGCACCTTCATGGTCTTGGGCCGCAGTAGATGGGGAAATCATGGGTTGCATTAAGCCTCCTGACGGCAACTCATTGGCCGAAGTCATGTCAGCGGAGACAACTCCCCTGACAGATGATGAGACTGGCCAGGTTACGGAGGGCGCCATTACACTTCAAGCTATAGTGCTGCCGGCCACAGTTGATGATGTTTACTCATGCCCGGAATGGTACAGGCGGATGAAAGCAATCCCGTCTCGTCAAGTCACGTTGTCAAGCTTTCATGAGCCTGGGCTTCAAGCTATATATGGATCTATGATTGAGTCCATGGCCCAAGCCTGGGTTCATTTCGACACTTACGATGACATTTGTGCCGAGATTCAGTTTGTACCTTTATATATGCGTTGGTTTTTGTCTATCTGGGGACTCGCCTTGGTCCCAGGGGAGGGGGGGTTCAGGCGGGTTGGTGTAATTCAAGTCAAGATCCCGACTGATAAGCAAGCAGCTTTGGCATTCATAGGCCAACTTCCTCGACAGAGTGTGGTTATTAGATAGTGGACTATTCTTTTTCTTTAATGTCCTATATGGCTAGTGTCGTCGTCGTCGCCGTCGTCGCTGTTGTTTTTGTCTGTACCAGGTTGTTATTCTTCTAATCATCGTCCTCGATTGGAGTAAACCTGTTCACAGGTAATAGTCGCGCACGCAGGGAAATCAGGTAGTCTTGCAAGAAACTCTCGTAATACAGTTACTAGACGTCGATAGAGTAGATAAACATAAGGTTTGGCATCACATTACTTCACACAAGTAGGTAGGGAACGATTAGGGGTGGTATAAATCAAAGGCTCACACGACATGCAAGACATGGGTAACAGAACGGCTTGTCACCCGGCCAGATGGTAGAACCCTCTCGATACGGTGAGACAATGTCAGTACCACATTTACATGGGCGTAAAACACTAGGTCTTGGAGGTTGTGATCGAAAAATGAAATGCAATTGCTCGCTTCCTGAAAACTTCCTAGACCTTCAGAGTCTTATTCTAGCCTTCCTTTGTTCCACCATTTGGCATCTTCCACGTCACCCTCACCCGTCTTGATCTGTGTTACCACACTCTTACTCCTCGCCAACGGGTCAACCTGCCGCACCACAAACTCGTCCAGATACCGCCCATTCGGCGGAGCCCGCGATTCCTGTCGCAGGCTCGCCTCGCTCCCAACCCTCGACCTCCTGTCCGGCTCCATCTCCAAGTCGTCGTCCAGCTCCACGCTCTCCAGCCGCCTGGCCTCGCGCGTGACCTCAATTTCCTTGGTGACAAAGATGCCGTCTCCGAAATCGCCGAAGTGCTTCCGCAACACCGGCCAGAAGATGGGCACGCTGCACGCCACCATAGCCAGGTCGACCTCCACGCAGGCAATGACGACGCTGATCGGGGCGTACCACGTGTAGTCGAGGGTCGGCAGGGTCGCGGCCTTGTGCTGGACGACGGAGATGAGGCGGACGATCGAGATGGCGTTGACGATGAGGCCGATGGTGAGCAGGACGAGCAGGCCGAGCTTGGACTTGAGCGTGGCGTCGCGCTTGAAGTAGAGGGGCACGGGGATCGCGAGGACGAGGAGGTCGAGGATGACGTTCAGGGCGGCGTGGCTCGCGTAGGTGCCGTAGAAGATGTCGGCGTCGAGGGAGCCGTAGCCCCAGCGGGCGGCGGGGACTTGCCAGTCCCAGTAGGCGCGGATGGGGTAGCAGGGGATCCAGCCGAGGAAGCTGTAGGCGATGGCCCAGAGTCCGGTGAAGAGGATCATGGCTTTGCAGGCGCTGCGGAGGAAGCCGGGCTGGTCGTAGATGCGGACGTACTGGAAGAGCAGGGATAGTTTGATGAAGGCTGTTGACATCTGGTAGGAGGCACTCGTGATGTAAAACGTCTGAAATGGCCAATGTTAGTAGGGCAATTGTTGATAGACCGGCAACCGGGGGGAACTCGTCACGGGGCTCGTACGCAGAGATAGTTTTGCACGTCTGAAGCTGTTAGTTCGTAGAGATGCTTGCCCAAGCCAAAGGAAGTCGCTTTGCCATGTGTCAGCCAAGAAGCCATTGAGATGATCAAATCTGAGATGTGATAACTTACAAACACAAGCACCAATCGTGCCAGTTGTTGTCGTCAACAGCGATAATACGACGAAAAGGTCGTCCCATCCCAGAGCCTTAACCACCATCCCCCGCGTGTACATACGAAAGGCGACACATATCCATGCGACGACCTAGAGCGCCAATGTCAGAACACACGAATAGCTTCACATTTCCGACGGAGAACCATACCTCGAAGGTGATGGCGACACCCAGGATCGTGCCCTTCTCGTTCACCAGCGGCTTCGGCTCGTGAGAGTTGTCGTATCCGGTGCCGAACAGCGTATAAATCGTTTTTCCATCCATGGCTGTCAAACCACGGTGGGGGATCAAAACATTAGACAGAAAAGAGAAGTGAGTCTGACCCAACCCAAGCAGTAAAACTTGGGAACAAGTCAAGAAGCCGTGGGGTGATCAGTGCAGGAAAAGACTAGCAGAGGAAGCAGGTAGGTTATGTGAATATCAAGATAGAGACAAGCCCCATCCCTTCTCGAAAGAAAAGAAACGAAGAGAGGTACACACACCAACAAGACGACAACGGTTCGAGCCAACAACCGATCTGCCCGTTCCGGGTCCGTGGTATTATATTCTGCTCTGCTTCCTCCAGCAAACGAGTCCACAGATAGCTCGAGACGAGCACCAGAGCAGCATAGTGCCTGCCCAGGAACCCGCTCGCCACCCTTGCTAACCATATGCCGAACGTCAGTAAAGCCCTGCTGGGGGCCCGGGGGGGGCTACCCTACTCCACAGTTCAAACCATACCCCTTTTTCTCCTAACGCGTGCCGGGGTGAGGGCGCCATCCTCGAGGGAGGATGCTGCTGGCTGGCTGCTGCACTGGAAAATTCCGCGCTGCAAGCAGCTGGATCGCGGTGGATGAGAGGACAAGCATCAAGGGCCTTTGACAGCAAAGGGGGGCCAAGGGGGAGCCTGGCTTAGTGGTGCTGATCTCTTCTTTCACTTCTTGCTTTCCCCCGATGGAATGGCGTCCGTGCGATTGCAACCCCAACCCTGACATGGTGTGGGAAAGAAGAGTAAGACATTGTGGATTGAATCGGTCGTCTCGTCGTCCAAACAGCAGCTGGGAAGAGGCTGCGGCGCCAATTGCTGGCTGGAAGAGCCAGAAAAACCTGCTGGGGTTCGAGGAGATTAGCACAATTGTGCATGAAGCATGGCGCCGCAAGCCACGTTGTCACCATATCATCCAGCCAACCTTTAAACGTCGTCGAGGCGCTAAAGAGGAAGCACGGGGCGCTGGGCAGTTTCTTTCGAGGCCGTCCGGCGCCCGAAAACCCGGGAACAAGTGCTGCACTAAAACGATCCAACACACATTTCATCAACGAGACGGTGGCAGATCTTCTGCTTTTGGGCGATGGTCTCCCCCGATTATGGTTATCGTCTAAGAACGTGGCTCTGGGCTGTGGCTGGGGCTGGGGGAAGTCAGATGTACTTTGTACAATTAGCCCGACATGTGAAGGACTACGAGGAAGCTCCCTTCTTCGGTGATATATCACGACTTGTGGAAATGAATGACATTCACTGTTGCATGGCGAGTGACGGCAAACAGATAGAGGCAGCAAGATTGAAGGCACAGGCGGACAACCCCGGCCCCTTGCGCTGTGACGAGAGCCCCGAGTCAGTGACCGTCACCCGCTAGAGTGACCGCGTGTTTCAGCGAATGTAGGTCCTTTTTCTGCTTCCATCGCTGTAATTCACTGTGGTATGCAGTACAGATAAGGCAGTAAAACCTCAAAAATGTGAGCTAAAGATGCCCGAGATATCCGGGACGCACTTGTCAAGTACAAGAGTTCACGTCGCCTGAAGCTTCTTTGAAGCATGTGATATGTGTGTGTGTGTGTGTGTGAACTTCCACGATGAAAAACGTCTCGACTGCAAAGGGGGGCGCGGCAGCGGCTCAGTCAGGAATCCACGTAATGCATCGGAGTGTGTTCCGCCTAGTATTCCAATTCTACGAGTCAAAACGCTCATAACATCTCGTCTTAAACCGTCCAAGAATCAGGGCTCGACGAGAGCCAACCAATGTACGCATCCACGACCGATGAAAAGAGGAGACGGTAATAATACAGTTGCGTGCCATCTTAACACCCTTCGAGAATTCAAGATCGTGAAGTCTCGTCTATCGCCGTGGGCCTCGTGGCTCATACGCCTCTGGTTTTACAGCCCCGGAGACGAGCACCACCCTCCACATCAAATTTCGGAGGCAACTTCTCGCGACTCGAGATCGAATTGGTGTGACGTCCGGTCGTGATGGGGGGAGAGGGGGGGGAGGTTACCTCGCGGTGCAATCGTGGGCTCAATGGCTCATATCCACGTGCTCTCCAGTTGCACCACAGTAACCCAGGGAAGCGGGGGAGGCGAGTTGGAGCTTTGGAGGAGGTCAACGCGCAAATGGCTGCCCCGGGGTCGTTCACGGCGAGATGATCCCGAATGATGCTCGATTGTGCAGGTTTTCCGGCCTGGATATTCCGGAATAGACGAGTATGGGCTTCGTTGACGAGATACGAGGTACGAGCCGTGCTCCAGCAAAGCGAACAACGGCAGCAAGGCCCGAAACATCAGCAAACAGTGCGTCTTTATCAGTCCTCAATCAAAAATGAAATCTCGCCAATCTATCGACTGCCTGTACGCTCGGACGCATTTGATAATATCAAAAAAAGGGTCCAACGAAATAACGTACGCATTCTTCTCACCTAGAGCGAACGCACCTATCAACCACTGCGAGACTGAATCATTCACCGAAAGGCCCACGTAAGATGGGGGACAAATACGTCAACTGTCAAAAGACGTAGGTTTCGCACGGGACAGTCTTCCGCGGGCGATCCTGAGCCGGTTTTTCTGTCTCTCCCCGAGTCAGCTCTTTCACGGCTGTGCCGCGTCGTCGACGGTCACTTTACGGGTGGCTTGAGGCTCCATCCGGATTGCTCCTGTCAGTGATGCTGGCCAATTTACATAAAGTGCTGACTGACATGCGCTGGGGGTCACGGGGTTGCCACTGAAGGAACAGTAAGAAACAAGAGTGGGGGGAGGGCATAAAGACGACCTCTGGGCGACGAACGATGCTTCAATGCTCCAGAATTCAGAGCGTCTAGGGAAGCTCTGGCCTGCCCCGGTGGCGCTGAGTGCCACGCGGGCCGTTGGGATCGAGGGATGTTGCCGGTAGACTGGTTACGAAGCCATCGCGTTTTCTCAGAGACAATGTCGACGATGCTGGGATTTCTCCTGTTGGCTGGGTTGAAGCTTACTTGCTAGCTGATTTCATGTCTATGAAGTGCAGCGGAACGGGCGCTAATTCTCATCTTATCTCTTTGTCGGCAGGCAGACTCGACGAAAGTACGGATAGGGCTCAACTTCGAGATGATGGAGAGCGACAAGCCACAGCCTTAATCCAACTCATTCAGAACACACGAGTGAAGATCG